GCAGATCCGCATGACCCCCCCCCCCAATAGCTAGCAATCCAACTATTTGCACAGTTAAAGTACCTTACAGAAAACCACTGTCAACATTATACCACAAACATGAAAGGCTCAGCAAGCCCCACCTGGCCACACAACTTCCTAAAAACATTTGGGGGGAGGGCACCAGGAAAAGTGTCTGCAGGCCCTGCTGAGCTAGAAGATGGTGTAGCCCCCATGGTTAAAGATATAACGGCCCTTCTTTTTTTACAGCACCATCCCAAATAAGTGATCTTTAAGCAAGTACCAGACGATCCATGTCTTTTCAGGACTACAAAGGAGTTCCTGCTACAAGGGCACATGAGGATGGTCTTCTTATGAAGAACAATGAAGCTAGACCAAAAGATATAACTGCCCTCTTTTTTTTACAGCACCATCCCAAATAAGTGATCTTGAAGCAAGAATCAGACGATCCATGCCTTTTCAGGACTAAAATATCCAAGTATATTAAGACATTGCTCCTGAAACACTGAGAAAAATGACGGTTACTGAAACCTGTGATAGTGGCATTAGCAGAAGCAAAGATAAAATACTGTTGAGGATTCCCATTTAATCTGTAGGTTAAGTAGGAAGGCGCTACTTGGTAAGTTCCGGAATTGGATCAAGGGCGCCTTCTACTGGCCACACCAAAGATCTCCACACTAGACATTCCAGCAGATCCAGTTACAATATCATCAATGGGAAGCTTGTCACATAAAGGTCATAGGGAAACAAATCCCAAGACGCGACCCAGTATTTTTCTACAAACAGCTGAATTAATACCTCAGCTCTGAAGAAGGCAGAGTGACGAAGTGAATTCTGCATGGCTATTCTGCACGAGGAGGAAACGGAATGGCTTCCATATCAATACACTGAGAGAGGGTAGCTCACCTCTGTTGCACATGGCTAAGCTGTTGTGCAAATTAACATGTTTCTTGTTGGTTCCTGCCCTGAGCCTTGCTGTGCAGGGGAGTGCGGGCTAAAAGTCTAATAAAATAAAAATAAAACAAATAAATTTCTAGTCTTTATATTGGGTTACGCTCTTACGTCTTTAAACATCACACTGTGGGGAGGTCTAACCCTTGGGCTCCTTCTCCTTTCCTTCACTCTGGTGAACCAGGAATGACACCATGGCTGGGCTAGTAGTTCAGCAGTTCGAGACCCGGGTGCCACAAGGCGGAGTGAGCTCCCATCTCTAGTTTCAGCTCCTGCCAACCTAGCAGTTCGAAAGCAAGAAATTGCAAGTAGATAAATAGGTACCACTTCGGTGGGAAGGTAACAGCGTTCCGTGCGCCTTGGTGTTTAGTCATGCCGGCCACATGACCACGGAAACGTCTTCGGACAGCGCTGGCTCTTCGGCTTTGAAACGGAGATGAGCACCGCAACCCTACAGTCGGATTCGACTGGCTTTCGAGCAAGGGAACCTTTACCTTTACCTTACGTCTTTAAACATCACACTGTGGGCTCCTTCTCCTTTCCTTCACTTTCCTTCACTCTAGTGAACCAGGAATGACACCATGGCTGGGCTGATAGCTACAGGGAATAATGGGAATTTAATGGGAATTTAAGTTCTCATCATGGGACCAGTGCACGTGGGGGCAGATAGGAAGCAGGTGCAGGAAAAATAAAATGCAGTCCTGCCACCCCTGAAAGGCTGACTGAGTTGGATACCCACAGAAGATGGCCACTTCAGCTGTGATTCGTGGCTCCTTCTTCTGAGGGAATCCAATTCAGTCAGCCTTTCAGGACTCATGTGTGTTTGTGCATATTTACGGTTGCCACCTTATAGTCTAAACCTCTACACATGTTCACTCAGTTCAAAATGCAGTCTGACTTACAAGTAATTCTGCTTAACAGACTTGCGTGAGAGAGCAGCCGCCCTCTTTCGATTGGGGCTGTTACTTACGAGTAAGCCCCCAGTGAGTAAAGCAAGACTTCCTTCTGAGTAAGCACGCTTACATTCCTCGGGCCATGGAGCATTTTATCCCCACATTTTTTTTAACATAAGAAGAGCCATGATGCATCAGACCAAAGGCCCATCAAGTCCAGCATTCTGTTCACCCTCGTAGCCAATGAGCTATCTCTAGGAATCCCACCAGCAAGAAGACTGCAACCACATCCTCTTGTCTGTGTTCCTCAGCAACTGATACAAAGAGGCATACTTCCTCTGGTATTTGAGGGAGCAGATACCCATCACGATTAGTAGCCCTCGACAGCCCAGGCCTCCATGAATTTCTCCACTCCCTTTTCAAAGCCTTCCAAGTTGACAGCCATGGCCAAATCCTGCGGCAGCAAGTTTCACAAGTTAACTATAAGCTGTGTAAAGAAATACTTCCTTTTGCCCGTAGAAAAGACCAAGAGTCCAGTAGCACCTTAAACACAAAATATGTGGCAGTGTCGGCCCTTTCGTGAGTCACTGCTCACTTAAGAACATAAGAGACGCCAATGTTGGATCAGGCCAAAGGCCCACCCAGTCCAACACTCTGTGTCACACAGTGGCCAGAAATACCAGTGCCATCAGGAGGTCCACCAGTGGGGCCAGGACATTAGAAGCCCTCCCACTGTTGTCCCCCCCCCCAAGCACCAAGAAGACAGAGCATCACTTGCCCCAGAGCCCCTATCTATACCTTGTGGCTAATAGCCACTGATGGACCTCTGCTCCATATGCTTATCTAATTCCCTTTTGAAGCCGTCCATGCTTGTAGCCGCCACCACCTCCTGTGGCAGTGAATTCCATGTGTTAATCACTCTTTGGGTGAAGAAGTACTTCCTCTTATCCGTTCTAACCCGACCGCTCAGCAGTTTCATGGAGTGCCCACGAGTATTCTTCGGATACAGCTTCATTTGTCCTATATATTGAAAAGTGAAGGATTTCAGATGCCAAATTACTTTAGCAGGCAAATTACAATAGCAGGTGTGATATGCAGAGAGGGTAGTAGGTGTGGAGAAATCAGCATTGGTAATGAGACAGGAAACCTAGGTCTCAATTCAGTCACGGTGGGTGCATTGTCTTGAGCTTCCTTATCAGTTGCAATTCAGCAGTCCCTCTTTATAATCTCCCTTTGAAACTCCTTTGTATGAGAATTGCTACTTTTAGGTCAACAACTAAATGTCCTGGAAGATTAAAATGTTTCCCCACCGGTTTTTGAATGTTGTGGTTCCTAATGTCAGACTTATGTCCATTATTTTTTGTCAAAGGCCTGTTTGTCCAGTGTAGAGGGTGGAAGTGCTTTGCTGACACGTGATGGTGTAAATCACATTAGAGGATGAGCAGGAGTATGAACCTGAGATGGCATGGCTGATGTTGTTGGATCCACGGATGGTGAAGAGCAAAGTTGGCCTCTTGGTTTGTTGCAGGCCTTGGTACCAGAGTCCATGTGACTGTTAAGTAGTTTGTCTTTGCGGGTGAGAAGTTGTTTTAGGTTAGCAGGCTGTCTTTAAGCAAGAAAAGGTTGCCCCCGCCCAGCGCCTGCGCGAGGGAAGCGTCACTATCCAGCATGGGTTGTAGGTCAGGTCATTAATAATGCACTGAACGGGCTTGAGTTGTGAGCTGTAGGTGACCACCAGTGGTGTTCTGTTGTCATTTTCCTTGGGCTTGTCTTGTAGCAAGCTGTCCCTGGGTACCATTCTGGCCTTTCCAATCATCTTTCTCCCCATATCAGGATACTGAAGTTGCAAAAATGCCTGTTTGCAGATCCTTGAAGTGCATATCTCTATCTGAGGAGCTGGAGCAGACATGCAACTATAGCGTGGGGGCTTGGCAATACACAGTGGATAAGTTGATGTGGTTGGGGTGGTTGCTGGAGGCACCTAGATAGGTTTGCTGATCTGTCGGTTTCTGGTATAATGTGGTACTTATGTGTCCCTCATGTGTGGACACTGTGGTGCCCAGAAAGTTTGTTTCTTGTGTAGAGTAACTCATAGCTAGTTTGATGGTGAGGTGGAAGTTGTGGAAAACCTGGTGAAATCTCTCTGTAAGAAGCAGCGATTGGATTTATTACCCCATCCTTCACTCAAGAGTCTCAGAGGAAGAAGCATTGGATTTATTACCCCACCCTTCACTCAAGAGTCTCAGAGTGGGTTAGAATCGCCTTCCCCTCCCCTTCCCCTCCCCACAACAGACACCCTGTGAAGTAGGCCTTCTTTGCCATGGCTCCAGACAATTAAAAATCCTGATCTATTTCCTTTTGTCTGTCCCCAGTCTCCCACCCATCAGTGCAGGACCCGGCTGGGTTCCAGCTGTGCACTGTCTCCATGCCATGCATAATTATATAAACCTCATGTCTCCCTTACTTGCCTTTTTTCTAGGTTACACAGGCCTAAGTGTTTTTTTATTATTTTTAATTGAATTTCCAATCAAGTTTACATACACATCAATTACAAATTTACCTAGACATCAATCTCAATAATAATAAAATATATAATTCCAGCTATAACAGATCACCACATAGGTCATATGTATCTTATACAACTATTAATCCTAACAATCATTTGGCACATTATTAATTATTTCACAATAATGTAATAAATCTATAATATTGGGGATTTCTTTCTGTTGCTTCAAATACTGTAATATAGGAGACCACGTCACAGAAAAATTAGATGGTGTTCTTTGAGAATAGGAATCATGAAAGGCCTAAGTGTTAACCGACCCTCATAGGGCTGCTGCCGCCCCCTATTTCCGTTGCTCTTTCCTGCACCTTTCCCAAGTTCTACAATATCCCCTTTCAGGTGCGGTGACCGGGACTCCAGACCACGACAGTGTACGCAGGGGTTAAAAAAAACAACACCTGTTGAAGTGTTCCTGGACTCTGATACATTTCTACCCGCGCACGGCCCAACTCGCTCCGGACACGGAACTCGACCCGCACGTCTGGATTGGCCCTTTCAGTACACCCTTCCTGGCCGCAGCTCCTCCCCCGAATTCTGGGCGGAAAACTCGCCACGGAGCCTCCCCGCAGCAGCAGCAGGAGGAGGAGGAGAGGGAAGCCGGCGGCTCTTCCTGGCGGGCCTCCTCCAACACTTCCTCGGGTGGGTCTTCAGGGTGCCGACCCGTTTGCCCTGGATTTCCGAAGCCGGCTGCCACGTCGGTATGTTGACTTCCGAGTAAACGCTCCGGAGCGGGGGGATCGGGACGTCTTGTCGCAGCAGGAGCGCGGCAGCCCCCGTCCGGACTGCAGTGGGACTCCCGCCGGGCACGAAGTCCTGGGCAGGGCCGCTGCCCGTGGCAGTAAATCCGCTAAGCCCCATCATCGGGCTGCAGGGGGCTTCCCTCCCTGGGAACTGCACTCCTGGGAGGCGGGAGAGCGGGAGTCCGCGGGGCCTTCCTGCGGGAGAGGGTCATCCCCGGGCCGAGCAGAGGGAGATCCGGATTCCAGACCGTCTCCAGGATTTCCCTCCCCCCGGGGCGGGGGGGGGGGGGCGGAGGCACCAGACAGCGAGGAGGCACACACACTTCCCTCCATCCCAGGGGCTCTGAGGGGGGAGTGGCTCATTTCTTTGGCGAGGGGGCCGGGCCCGTTTCCTCCCGGTCGCGGTCGCCTGCTTCGCAGGTTCCCTCTAAGCTGTGGAATCTTGTGAGCAAAAAGTCTACTTTGTGAGCTACCGGCATTAAAGTTGTGAGCGAGTGATTTGTCTACTGCATCAATTAGTTTGCTCTGGAGCCCTCCTTCCCGAGCTAAGACAAAAGTGTGTGAGCCGGAGGCTAAAAAACTATGAGCCAGCTCGCTAGCTCACCCTAACTCAGCTTAGAGGGAACACTGTTCGCAGCCCCTGCAGGTCCACTTGGGGTGGGGGGGCTCGCTCACGCTGGAAAATTGGGGAAAGTCTCTCAAACTTCAGGCAAAGGAGTTGTGCTGGTTTTTCACTTTGCCACCCCTCCTGCTATTCCAGTTGACCTCCAGACGACCAAGAGCAGCCCCCTTGGAGGACATGGCTGCTTCGGAGGGTGGTTCTGTGGCATTATATCCTGCTGAGGTCCCGTCCCTCCCCAGTCCCCCCCTCCCAAGGCTCCATCCCCCAAATCTCCAGGAGCTGGCAGCTTAAGTGGGAACGTGAACCAGACACCCTCCCCCAAAGGGTCCAGGCCTCTAGAGGAAATTCAGAGCCCCCCAGTTAGGTTCTGGTATTTTTGACAACCGGGATCGTGTCTCGGTTCCCCATGCCCTGTAGAAACGCAGCCTCCTCTTTTCCAGGGAGGCACTCCCAGCCTTTTTCCTTGGCTTCCTGTGCTGAATTGTTCTGTGTTCGAAGACAAGTGTTGACACAGTCTTGAGTTCTCCCGACTCTTCCTTTTTAAAATGACTAAGCTGTGGAGTCTTGTGAGCAAAAATTCTACCTTGTGAGTTGCTGGCATTAAAGTTGTGAGCCAGCAATTTGGCTGCTGCATAAATCAGTTTGCTCTGGAGCCATCCTTCCTGAACTAAGATAAAAACATGTGAGCTGGAGGCTAAAAAACTGTGAGCTAGCTCACACTAACTCAGCTTAGAGGGAACCCCGCATAGGAGGGCACCTGCTTCTGACAGGGAACTGTTCGGCATGGGAAGCTGAGACCCACAAGGATGAGTCCTTAAAAAATAACTTGGGGCCAGGCACACTCCCCCCTCCCTCATTTGGGCCGCTTCTGCTCTCAGTGCTTCCACATAGTCATGGGGCCATTCCCCATCCACCCCCCTAACCCAGCCGGATGATTAAAAGCTTTGGCAGAGCCTGGGAGGGGGCCACCCAGATGAAGTCGCCATCTTGTATTATGATCATGCTTTTATATTGTAATCTTAATGTAATGCTGTTTTAATATATACTGAATTTTTAATGTATTGTTTATAAATATGTTGTTAGCTGCCCTGGGCCTGCGACTGTGGGGAGGTGCGGGATATAAATATAGATAAATAAATAAATAACCACCACCATTCCCCTTGCCTCCTCTGGAGAACTTTTTGAAGCCTTTTTAAAAAAAATTGTACAATTTAATTAAGTTGAAATTTGTATATAAATTTTAATTTTATTTGTATACAAATTTAGGAAAACCTGCAGAAGAGTGGGGGGGCAGAGGGGGAAGGGTCAGCCGTGCTGTGCAGGAGCCCCCATTGGAGAACGAGGCAGGGTCAGACCTCGGTACAGAAGTGGCCCTGAATGCTGAGCCATTTTCTCCAGGGGAACTGATCTTTGTTGCCTGAAGATCAGTTATAATAGTGGGAGGTTGGCAGCCATGTCCTTACATCAGCACTGGTGAACAGGGGTCATTTCCTGCAGGAGCGCACAGGAGCGGAGCTCCGGCAGTAAAAAGCCCAGGGGGTGGGCACATGCAACAAGTCCCACCCCCTACTCCCAGCAGCCCCGGGCCACGAGGAGCAAGAAGCAGCCCTCCTTCTTTCCTTCTCTCCTTCTTTCCCTTTCCCTCCTTCTTTCCTTCTCTCCCTCTTTCTTTCCCTTTTCCCCTCCTTCTTTCGTTCCCTTTCTTTCTTTCTCTCCTTCCTTCCTTCCTTTCTGCACAGACCTGTGTGTTCCCTCCCCCCAGCTAGCAATCCAAAACAGTCCAGTGGCACCTTTAAGGCCAGGGTTTATTCAGGTACAAGTTCTCCCTCCTCTGCAAAGACAGATCTACACGTTAATAGCACGCTTGATGAGGTCAGGAAGGCTCCCGTTTTCCTGGCTTTCTGCAAACGGTGCAGAATTATTCAGGAGGACTTCTTTACGCAGGAAATAGGGCTGTCCTATAAGGAAATCATTCCGAAAGGTGCTTTGGTGAAGGAATAGAGACTGTAGACTCTGCAGCTGTGTACTGTCTGTTGCTGTAAGTACGCTCCTGTTGGGTGATTTCGGCATTGTTTAGCGTGTCGTGTTGAAATACTTACTTTTTTGTTCAGCATTGTTTCAGATCGGTATCAGGTTTCTGCTGTTTTCAAATTTCTGCAGCCCAAACCCCATGGCATTGTCTGTTGGATGTCCCAGATGTTGATCGTATTGACTTGCCCTGTATTATCTGCCTTGAGTCTCTGAGAGAAAGGCAGACTGTGCCCAGTGCAAATAAACAAATGGAGGTGCACGGTCTCTACGTACTCCAGTGCCTGGGGACCACCACTCTTTGGAAACTGAGCATTGTCCACAGCTTCTTTATTTCTGCAAGACAAACCCCTCCCCCCAAAAAATAGTTTTACAAAGTTTTATAGTTTTCCAGGGAACTCCCACACCACCACTCATGCTCGTGTGCCTGTGGTTAAATCAAGAGAAAGATCATTCTGGGAAAGACAGGTTATGAGGTGGAATGAAGGAATTTCTGCCGAGGCCTGCTCGACCTGTTCTTCCTACACCGTTGAAATCTCGCTTGCCCAGTTCTGTTCTGCTGCACACTTACAATGGTTGCCACCCGAATGCAATGATTTTTTGGGTCTATATGAGTTTTACACATTAGCCCATGAAAGGTTTAAAAAACAAAAAACTGGCTGTCTCATTTATTGGTTTGGAAAATTCGTATGCCCCTTTTCCAGGGAAACGAGTTGATGTGGACTACGAAATAAAACTTACTCAAGACAAAGCCATAAAAGTTGTAAAGAGTTAAAAACCCAGTGTTAAAAACCTTCACCCACACAGGTCAATTTTAGTAATTCGTAAATGGAAAGGGAAGGAATTTATTTTCTTTCTTTTTTTCAAATTTACCCCACTTTTCTGGTAGACTGCAGAACTTGTTTCTAGGGTTAATATTGACAAATCACAATTTGGGGAGGGGAAAGGACAGAAATAACTAGGGGTGCCGGCTCTGGGTTGGGAAATACCTGGAGATTTTGGAGGTGGCGTGGAACCTGAGGAGGGCGGGGAGGGAACTCAGCCAGGGTATAATGCCACAGAGTCCACCTTCCAAAGCACGAACTGATCTCTGCCATCTGGAGTTCAGTTGCAATAGAAGATCTCCAGCCACCACCTGAAGATTGGCACTCCCTGAAAATAACCCTCTGTTACCCTGTCTGATCGTTAATCAGAGCCCATAAAAAGCAGGCTTAAACGGTTTGGCTTTACACCATTTCTGGAGCCTCTGAAGGGTCCGTGCCTCTCTCACCACTTTGGGAAAGCTTGTTCTAAAAACAGGGAAGAGACGTTTTGCTTACAAAACGTTCCCTGCCTGCAGACTGGTCAACTGGACATCTATACCCAGTCAGATACTAGAGTGGATTGTTAAACGGCTAGACTGTGAGCATCTAGAAAAGAATGGATTGATTACTTAGGGCCGGCATGAGTTGATCAAGAATAGGGTTGTGTCAGCTTATGCTGCCATGATAGTTAAGGAGGCCATGGGCTTCCCCTATTCTGTGTATTAATTACTGCTGCATTCCTTCTGTGCTTCTTCTTTGCTGTAACACTGTTATCTCTAAGTGGTGCAGGTGGTGTAGAGTCTAGGCCTGGGGGAACCGTGGGAGCGCTATCGGTTCCCAGCCTCGGCTCTAACGGTCTGAGGCTCTTTCTCCCGTGCGCGGGAATATGGCTAATTGGCCTATGGTGTGTGTGTGTGTGCGTGCATACGAATGCCCTATATCCCATTATGTTTGTAGGGGAGATACCATTCTTAACAGTGCTTCTGTCAACGCATCTATAGCTCTGCAATAAAGTATTACCTTTCTGATAAGCATGTACTTAGTTGTTGGCTGTGGGTTCTGACAGGTTGCCATCTCCCCGTTGGGAAATACCTGGAGATTTTGGGAGTGGAGCCTGAGGAGGGCGAGATTTGGGGAGGGGAGGGACTTCACTGGGGCATAATGCCATAGAGTCCACCTTCCAAAGCAGCCATTTTCTCCAGATGATCTTAGCTCTGTTGTTTGGAGAGCAGTTGTAATAGCCGGAGGTCTCCAGCCACCACCTGGAGGCAATACTGGATTGGTTCCAGACTAAAGTAGTTCTCCGTTCTCATTGGTTCCACCCACCCCCCTGTTATGTATGGAATGGAATGTTGTATGTCTTGAGCTTGAGCCTGACGCAAGGTATTGTAAACCGACCTATCGGAACAAGGGAAGTTCTGGAGGGAAGCAAAGTGATTGGTCTTTATGTACAGTATTTGATTGGATGTTATCTAACATGTGGGTGTGGCTTGCCAAGCCTGGACTGTTTAAAAAGGAGCCTGTTGCTCCATTGTTTGTCTCATTCTGGTTCTTCTGTCTTCTGTTTAGGCTTGCCAAGTCCCCCCGGGGGGCGGGGGAAACCCGCCCTAGAGGCCCATTCCCCACCGCCGGCAGATTGGGCCCCAGGGGGAGCCCCACCCCGACGTGCGCGTCACCCGGAAGTGACGCGACCACGCCGGGCACACTGGGGGCGGGGCCTCGGTCATCCAAGGGAAAATTCTATGGTTTTCCCTCGAATGGTCGTGGCCCCGCCCCCAGCGTGCCCGGCGGCGTCATGTCACTTCCGGGTGACATGCGTGCGGCGCGCACTCCAGACGCCAGCCAGGAGTCCCCCGCTACAGCGCAACACCCGACTTGGCAACCCTACTTCTGTTCAATAAAGCTGTTATCACTGTTCACCTGCTGCCTCGAGTCTCGTATCTAACACCCCAATCATTACAAGATGTCATGTGCGAAGCCACTAAACGGTGGCTTTCCAGGCAGCTTATCAAGGAAAACTGAAGGGGTGGAACAAGTATTTGAGTTGCTTTCCTAACTGCTGAGCCTTAAGCAAATATCCCCGCCTGTTTTCAAAGGTGGGGCTGAGATGGGATCCTTCCTGACACAAAAAGCTAACAATAACTCATCAGAGATAGAAAAAGAAAAGTAAGCATACCTGGCAGCTGCAGTGGACGAAGCACTCTGAACTCGTTCTTGTGAAAGCTTTTTTAAGACATTCCATTCCTTGTCTGTATTGCTGCAGAATTCTGTCTCTGTTCCATTCACTGTTGTCTATTAGCAGGCAAAAGATGCTCAGCAACTGTCTGGCCATTTAAAAATCCTAGAATGAAAACCTAGAATGAAATGTTATAGAATCCTCTGTTCAGAGGCAAGATGGCTGTTCTGGTTGGGTTATGGTCTTCTTGCTAGCTTGGCAGTGCCCTTCTGAACTTGCCAGGGGCTTTATTTAGGTCCTTTCAACCCACCTTTATCCAATGAAGGAACAGATGCAAAAGACCACACTCTTAGATACTGTTTTGTGCCCAGTAAGAAGGAATCTATCAAAAAGTTTCTGTAGAATAAATTAGAAGAAGAAAAGATTGGATTTATACCACTTCACTCGGAGTCTCAGAGCGGCTTACAAACTCCTTTCCCTTTCCCTCCCCACAACAGACAACCTGTGAGGTAGGTGGGGCTGAGAGAGCTCCGACAGAAACTGCTCTTTTTCAAGGACAGCTCTTGTCAGAGCTATGGCTTGCCCAAGGCCATCCAGCAGCTGCAAGTGGAGGAGTGGGCAATCAAACTGGGTTCTACCAGATTAGAGTCCGCACACTTAACCACTACACCAAATTGGCTCTCAATCAAATTAGTATTGCAGATTGCAGTTCCAGTGATCAGTGCATTTCACAAATGTTGCCTTGCCGTTCTTACATCAACCTTTTAAGGTGTACCACTCTTCACCATACTGTAGATGGGGATGACTTAAATCCAGGCTGCAAGGTAAAGAGCTTCCAGTACGGCCAAAGCATGCTGTATGTGCATGCCGAAGATGACATTGTTAATCTAAAAGCTTGACCAAGATAGAGATTTGGTGTTGGAAAACTATTTGTTTTGGTGATGGAAAACTATTTGTTTTCTGCTTGATCTTTCCGCTTAAAATATAATAAAGGGTAGCTCTAAGAACTGCCTTGCTGGGCGAGGCCAAACTTCCATCTAGTCCAGTGTCTGTTCTCAACAGGTTACAGCAAAGACCTTCCCTTGCTGTTGCAGATGGTTGCAGTGCTTCTCCTATAGGCATTTGGGCTTTACATAGAGGTGTCACGGGCTTTTGATTCCACTGTTTGCAGTATTTTTCTCTATGCTCTGTGCGTGGGTGTGTATATCAGTGAGGGAGGCACTTCATGTCTCCAACAAAGTGGACTGTGGTCCGGACTAGCATCTGGCATTTAGCAGTATATTGTACATGGAAGTTCCATTTCAATATTACACAGAATAGGTCACATTGCCACAAAGGGCATGAAGAACATTCACATTTCCTGATTTTGTAGAACAGCTTTGTGCATGCTGCATTAACAGGAAATACCAGGAATTCAAGGAGAAAACTTTTGCATGCAAATCAGGTGGCCAGCCACTGAACTGTGGCGATCCCCTCCTAAGGAACCGGTTTATACCGAGTCAGTCTGACGCTTGTCCCCACTCGACTTCCTGAGTTCCGTATTGGAGATACCAGGGACTGAACGGGGACCTTCTATATACAGAGCAGGTGCTTCTCCACTCCTTCCTACTCTAATTTGTTGTTCTTTTAGTTTATGTTGTTATGTTACCTAATTATTATGTATTTATTAATGCATGCTCCACTTTTCGCAGCATTTAATTTTGTTACTTTCTTTATTAAAAAGGTTCTGCCGGTGCCTTAAAATGACTACCTCTTGAGTTGAGATGACCCCGTGCGGATAAGAGGAAAGCCATAAGGAGAAAGTCACCGTTGAAAGAAAGAGATGTCCCCCCACCTCCCTTGGTGCTCTGTTTGCATGGTGGCAATGATATTCTGTGCTACGCTGGAGCCGTCGCAGAGTCAAGATTGTTCCACAGAGAAGACTGAGAATGCCACTGTTGATCTCAAAGCGGCCCTCTCCAGAGGCGTCCGGGGGTCCGATCCGGTTCACGTGGCATCTTGGGAAGCGTGCGTCAACACTTGCTGTTTTGGACACAGCATATCAGGTAGAAAAATACACTTTGGGGGTATCAACTGCAGACTTAAACTGGTAGGATAGTCCTTTGTTCCTTCTCTCCAGAGAACAGCTCACCTGTGAAGACTTTGTAGGGCAGACACATGCTGTGAGGAGGGATTTGAACCTGGGTCTCCCATGTCCTGGTATGACACTCTAACCCAGGGGTGTTGAACTCATTTTTAATGAGGGCCGGATCGGACATAAATGAGACCTTGTTGGGCCGGGCCATGTGTGTCATACAATGTAATGCCAGGTAGCAGAGATATAAACTTTATAAAGGTCACGAACACAAAGGGTCTTTTTTTACTTAAAATAAAAACATGCTTAAAACATCAGCACTCTTGCAATATTTTGTTTATTTAACAGTGTCTGATAACTGATACCTCTTGTTCTGAATTATTGCATCAAAATGTCTGTGCTGTTGCAATCTTGAGTATGCTGTTCAGGTGTGTATCTGTAAGCTGCAAACCTACGATGATGCAGCAGCAGAAGCAGAACTGGAAGAAGCAGCAGAAGACAGCCAGTTCCACTGTGGGCCTGATAGAAGCTCTCTGGGGGCCTGATCCGACCCCCGGGCCACATGTTTGACATCCCTGCTGTAACCCCTACAACCAAAAGCTGAATTTTGCAACCAGCATTCCTTGTGCAGAAAAATTCCTTGTTTCCTCTAATTTTGTTTTTGGGGGTTTTGCATAATTTTGTCTGGTTTTGCTAGTCACAAGAAGCCCTCTGGGGGCCTGATCCGGCCCCCAGGCCACATGTTTGACACCCCTGCTGTAACCCCTCAACCAAAAGCTGAATTTGGCAACCAGCATTCCTTGTGCAGAAAAATTCCTTGTTTCCTCTAATTTTGTTTTTGGGGGTTTTGCATAATTTTGTCTGGTTTTGCTAGTCACAGGGTGCGTGGACAGGGAATTATTGCTGGGTACTGAAGCTCTGTTCCAGTCACACAAACTGTTATTCAGCCAACCTGATGGGTGCTAAGTTTCCAGCCGGCGTTGTGTTGGATCCCATGGATCTAGTCCACTTCTTAGGTTCTCCTGGCTATTCTACATATGATGATTATTATTTGTCCACTAGTGGAGGGGCCTTCCTCCAGTGGAAGGGAAGACAATCTTTTCACATCAAGGAAAGCCTCCTTTCGCTGGTGGGAAGTACCTGGGCTGGCAGAATGGACCCATCCATTACACACTTTCCAGAGCACCTTTGTAGCTATAAGGTCAACAAACCTGTATATAAGAAAACAAGATAAAAAATAAAAGAAGAAGAAGAAGAAGAGATTGGATTTATACCCCGCCCTTCACTACCCAAGGGAGTCTCAGAGCGGCTTACAAACTCCTTTCCCTCCCCCTCCCCACAACAGACACCCTGTGAGGTAGGCGGGGCTGAGAGAGCGCTTGACAGAAACTGCTCTTTTTCTTGGACTTACTGGGGCAGAACTGAGTCTGCAGAGGTGGTGCACCTCTTCAGGTGATCCGTCTTGAGACATTCAGGGCGTCCTGCAAGTTTCCAGAAGGCTCTGAGGGATTCTGGAAATCCGAATGGTGATTCTGTTGCACAGGTCTCCAACGTGGGGCCCGTGGGCGTCATGGGGCCTGCTGACGCCTTTCCTTCTGCCCGCCAAGTGTTTTTAGAAAGTAGGAGGGGCCAGGTGGGGCTTTTGTCCCACAAGGCTTCTGATTGGCCATTGGAAATTTGATTGGTTGTGCATATTTTTTTAAAATAATTTTTATTAACATTTTAACAGAATATACAAGAATGAAGTGATAGCAGTGCAGCTTACAAACAGGGTAATTTGACATAATGCATTGTTACATTCGCATTACTATGTTAGATCTTACAATCTGTCATTAGATTCCTTGTGGCTTCCAAGTGTGTGTGTGGTATCTCTTAAGTATTTGTTGAACCCATTTGACTGGTATGTGGTGGTGGTGGTGGTGGTAGTTATGTGTTTCTTATATATAGATGGCTGTGCATATTTTTAAAGAATGTTGGTTTGGCAGCTGCCGCCACCACAGCACAAGGATCGTCGCCATGTGACCAAAGGTAAGCTGTGGTAGCCATTTTGTGGCTGCCTTGGCCTCCTGGGGTAGCTATTTTGTGGCAGTGCCTGCCTCGCTTTGTCAGAATTCCAAAGGTTCCCACAGGCTGAAAAAAAAGGTCCATTGAGTCTAAGAGGGCAGCCCGGAATGAGGTGAAGAGCTTTCTGAAGTTACAACTGGAGCTGCGTTCCCCTCCCTCATGTTGCGGGCCATCAGCACCCCAAGACCTAAAGAGTTAGCAGATTTGCAGTGAGCTGGGAGACAACTTGAGCAAGGCCTGGGCGAAATGTCTATCCAAATCTGATAGAACGTGGAACAGGGACCACTTCCAGGCCCACGAAGTTCTAAATCAGCTCGATACAAAACGTCTTGCTTTTAAAAATGCATTTATTCTGTGTGCTTGTGTTTTCCAGGTGACAAGAAGTGCAGCTTAGTCATCTTTAAGCCCCAAAAGAGAGGCAACGCCCCCAATTGCTACCTGTTTCACTGCCCCACAGAGGGAGCCTGTCCATTGAAGCAAGCAGTAGGACTGGTGACCTACAGAACAATAAGAGGTGAATGATAAGAAGACAATGGTTAAAAATTGGGTGATTCACCGGGGAATCCTACCATCTGAGTGGAGGTTGCTAAATTTGACAAGGTTCATAGACATCTCAAAACGAGGGCACCTTCTAGAGAAAGTGGAAATGGAAAATATAGGACGCATTAAGATTCCCTGGTATGAATATTTACAGGTATCCCATCTTTTTTACTCCATGAAGGGCGTTATCCCCTTCCATAGCCCGCCTACATTTTTTGAGAAAATCTTGACTCCAGAAGGCTTCTGGAAAAAAGGCTTGATCTCTTTAATATATAAAAATATATTAAAAAGTAATAAACCCTCCGTTGAAGCCTATCAACTAACCTGGGACAAGGATCTGGGTAGATCCCTCACAGAAGATCAATGGACCCAGATTTGGGGTTCCTCAACCTTCAATACTAGAACAATGTCAATACAAATGTAATCTGCCAAAGTTCTCCTGCGATGGTCTCTCACTCCCTTCGTACGAGGCACTTTACAATGTAGCTGGAAGCTCAGCTAATAGTTTTTGAAACAGGTTCAGGTCAGGTGGGGTAGCCGTGATGGTCTGAAGCAACAGGACAAAGTTGGAGTCCAGCGGCACCTTTAAGAACAACAAGGTTGAATTCTGGGTATGAGCTTTCGTGTAAAGGCACGCTTCCTCAGATCATTAAAACCAAGGATTTTGTTGGGCCCCAATGTTCAGCAGCCAAAACATGAATTGCCTCCTCTGGACACACTGTTTGTACTCACATGTTCATAAGTATGGGAATGGTCCTCTTCTAGACATTTGCTCAGGTGCTTAATGCTAAAAGACAACGATGACGTCAGTGATGAACACATGAAACTTGTGAAGCTGCCTTATACTGAATGAGACCAGGTCTATCCATGCCAGTATTGTCTACTCTAACTGGTAGTGGCTCTCCAGATCTCAGGCTGAAGTCTTTCACATCATCTACTGCCTTGACCTTTTCACTGGACATGCCGAGAAATGAGCCTGGGACCTTCTGCGTACCAAGGAGATGCTCTACCACTGGTGCCCCTCCAGTTTGGTGTAGTGGTTAAGAGCACAGACTCTAATCTGGGAGAAATGGGTTTGATTCCCCGCGTCTCCACATGCAGCTGCTGGTGTGACCTTGGGTCAGTCACAAATTTTCTCAGAGCTGTTCTCTCACGAGCAGTCCTCAAGAGAGCTCTCTCAGCCCCACCTACCTCACAGGGTGTCTGTTGTGGGGAGGGGAAGGGAAAGGAGATTGTAAGACGCTCTGAGACTCCTTTGGGGAGTAAAGGGTGGGGTATAAATCCAATCTCCTCTCTCCCCCCCCAATCTTACTTATCTTTAAAAAATCACACCCTTCTCAAACTAAGCCCTGTGGCAGAGGCCTACCAAATAATTCAGCAATGCCTTAAAATCCATTTAAGAGTCCGCCAGAATGTTGAAAGCAAATTTAAATAATTTCAGCCTTTCTCTAGAATTCCTAAACCGCATTCCTTTTTTAAATTAATTTATTTATTGGATTTTTTTATATTGACATAAAGAAAAAGAAAACTTCAACTTAACAGAATTACATATATGCAGATATCTTCCTCAGCTTTAAATAAGTGTCTCTACTTTTAGTTCTATTGCACTCATAGATAAGCCTTATTCATTAAGTTAAACCAAAGTTTGACTCTTTCAACCAATTGTAAAAACTAGACCAATATTTTTCATAATTCTCTATACTTTTTTCTTCGATAATACAGGTTAATTTCTCCATTTCTGCTATATCAAACAGTTTAAAAATAATCTCATCTTTAGAAGGTATATTTCCCTCCTTCCATCTCTTAGCAAATACAATTCTTGCTGCTGTTAAAATTTGCATTATTAAATATATCTCTTTTTTCTTAAATGTATCTCATATCACATTTAACAAAGAACATTCTGGGGTCAATATACAATTTTTCCCTATTATTTTGTCCACAATTTCTTTCACTGTAACCCAATATTTTTTTGTTTTACTACATGACCACCACATGTGGTAAAAAGTACCAATACAATGGTTACATTTCCAACAATTTTTCCCTATATTTTTGTTAAACTTATTTAACCTTGCGGGTGATATATGCCTTCTATAGAACATTTTACAATATTTGCCACCTATAGAACATCTTTACAATGTTTTCTTTAAAGGCACTTGTTCTTACAAACTTTATGTTTCTCATCCAAATTTTATCCCATTGTTCAAAGCTTATACTATAACCTATATCTTGTGCCCATTCTATTATCAATGGTTTCACCTGCTCATCTATCATTTTCCACTCTAACCAAAAATTGTAAGCTTTTAAAATAAATGTTTCCTTTGCGCCAAGCCAGATCTTATCTAGTTCAGTTTGACTTTCATAAAAACCCACTTGTTTATCGTTAGACCATCTTGAAACCACATTCCTAAACTTTGCACATCTCGTGAAAATCTTAGCGCATCTTGTGACGCTCGCTAGAGCCCTGGAGCAAGCAAAGATGAGTGGCCCCTGAGGCGTTACCATAGCAATGAAGGGTCTGAGCCAAGTGGGCCTGGGGCACTAACAGAGTTGCTGGGGCTTGGCATGGCTGGCTTCTAGCCACTAGGGCAGCGGCCCACTGGGAAATTGTAAGTTAAATGGCCAGTTGTCCCCTGCCAGAGAAATGTCCAGGCCCAGCCGTCCCTTTCTTGGGTGGATTTATTTATTTATTTATTAAATTTATATCCCGCCCTACCCCGCAAGCGAGCTCAGGGCTGCTTACATAATTCACATAATTTAAAATTCAATACAATATAATAAAACAAGACCTCATAAAGTGCTAGTGCTAATACATTGAATGCATAAGATGGCATGCTGAAATTACCATACAACCAGACAGTTTTGCTCAATGATCTTCCGGAGCACAGTGCTAGCGGCCAGATGGGGAATTCTAAAAGAGGTGGATTATGGGGAGCACGTGAGAGGATGTATTCCTTCACGTTTTGACTGGGGTAGGGCAGTATGCTGAAAAAGGCACTGGACTGGGATCTGGAGAACCACCTAGCCTTCTAAGGACCTCTGCTTTCTTCACCTGGGAATGCTGGAGACACAAAGATTAAAACTTTTGTACGATTTATAGAATTTCTGTGGAGGCTTTGAATTGAATGTCCCTGACTTATATTACAAAATGCTTATTAAAAATAGAATGCACTCATCTGGAAACGAAATAAAAGAGGTTCAGGATGAAGATAAGTGCTGTGGATGTAATTTGCCCTAAACCTTATCTTTTGTCCCTCTGTATCAAGGAAAGGTCTGGTAGGATGGCTATCTATTGGCTAATGCCAATGGTGTCACCGACATACCTCCCTTTACCAGTTTTACTAGTTATGAATACTTGTGGGCAGTAGTGGTAAGATGAAGGATGAAGATAAATATATGTACAGTTTACTTTAGTTTT